TAATAAAATGAAAGAAAAAAAAAAGTGATACATGGTTTCTATTTTTCTTTTTTAATGTAATAAATCTTTATTGTTCAGATCATTACAGGTGGTCCTCATTCCCCTCTCCCCCATAGTCCCCTCCAACTGATTCCCCACCCCACCCCATGCCCTTACCCCCTGCCACTGTCTTCATCCATAGGTGTAAGATTTTTGTGTTTCTGTTTTTCTTAGCTAGTATTTTTGGTGGGGTCAATATATATTGGTGAGATTATTAGCTAATCATTAAAACAAAATCATACATAAAAGTGGTTTAAAAATTATTCAAATAAATACAAAAGAGTATATAAAAAAGTAAAATCTCTCTCCCACAATGTGCTCTCTAGAAATTATCTGATATTTCACTATAGACTTCCAACTTTAACCTGGCTGGTGTGGCTCAGTGGTTGAGCATCAATCTATGAACCAGGAGATCACAGTTCAAGCAATGCCCAGGTTGTGGGCTTGATCCCCAGTAGGGGGCATGCAGGAGGCAGCCGATCAATGATGTTCTCTTATTGATGTTTCTATCTCCCTCTCTTTTCAATATATATTTTAATTAGCAATAATTGCGCCTCGGATAAACCTAATTGGTTATGATGTGCCACTGTGCAAAGCTGAAATCAATAAAAATATTTTTTAAAAGGTTTCTGGCTTTAAACTTTTAATGCTTTATCTACTAGCATGTGATAACTCGACTGTTACCTGCAAACCGTATTTTCCTCATCTAGAAAATAGAGGTAATTAATCTCTATCTCAAAAAATTGTGATAAGCCATTGTTCAGTGGTCGGCAAACTCAGTCAACAGAGCCAAATATCAACAGTACAATGATTGAAATTTTTTTTGAGAGCCACATTTTTTAAACTACTTCTAACACCACTTCTTCAAAATAAACGCGTCCAGGCCATGGTATTTTGTGGAAGAGCCACACTCAAGGGGCCAAAGAGCCGCACGTGGCTCATGAGCCGCAGTTTGCCAACCACGGGTCTATTTGGTTTGACTCAGTGGATAGAGTGTCAGCCTGTGAATTAAAGGGCTCTGGGTTCAATTCTGGTCAAGGGCACGTGTCTGGGTATCGGACTCAATCCCCAGCAGGAGGAAGCCGATCAATGATTCTCTCTAGTCATTGATGTTTCCATCTCCCTCTCCCTCTGAATTCAATAAAAAAAATAATAAAACAAGCATAAAAAATTGTTAAAGGATTTCACGAGATGAATGTTTACACAAATATCGGCATAGTGACTGGCAGATGACGGCCACTTCTGTTAAACCCGTGATGAGCTGGTCCCACTGAACCAGAACCACGTTGAGAGCAGTAACACCGAGAACAGTAACACTGAGCATTACAGGACAGTCACTGTGCTAAGCCCATGGGGTGCATTTTCTCATCCATTTCTCACATGATTCCTTTAAGATATAAGTCCGATCCTCATTTTCAGATGAAGGGCAGAAGGCTAGAAAGATTAATCACTTGCTCAAGTCAGAACAGTTTGAATAGGACCTTTTCTTAGTTGAAAGCACACTAATATGAGTGAGTACCTATGGCCTTAGGCAGAATCTACATATATAAAAGCGCAAGTGAATGGCCTACCAGCCAATTGTCCAGTAGTTATGACACGCACTGACCACCAGGGGGCAGATGCTCAACACAGGAGTGGAAACCACAGGCATGGAAACATGGAACAGACTGATGAATCTGAGGGAAGGGGGTAGGGCGGGAAGAGATTAAACAAAGATCTTATATACATTTGGGAAGCGTGGTGCACACATTCGTGCACTGATGGGTCCCTCAGCCTGGCCTGTGCCCTCTCGCAATCTGGAACCCCTTGGGGGATGGAGAGCCAGTTTCAGACCAATCCCCGAAGGTCAAAAGACTCTCTGGATATTGATTGGATTAAATACGTGCTCTATTTTCATTCTCTCCTTATCAAAATGGTAACTTACCAAAGCTGACAGCCAAGTTTATAACCCTCAAGGAAAGATATCTTGAATGGCTTTAGAGGAATAATCCTGACATTTGGGAGGCCTTCATTGAAAACTCCAGCTCATTGCCCTGGCCGGTGTGGCTGTTAGTTGGAGCATCACACTGTACACTGACAGGTGGCAGGTTTGATTCCTGGTCAGGGCACTTACCTAGGTTGGGGGTTCTATTCCGGGGCGGGGCATGTGCTAGAGGCTACTGATGGAATTTGTCTCATGTCTCATTCTCTCCCTCAATCTAAATCAAAAACAAAAAATATCCTTGGGTGAAGATTTTAAAAAGTAATTTAAAAAAAAGAGAAAAATCCAGCTCAAACCCTCCCCTACAGCATCCTATAGTAAAGTTTTATTTATTTTTTATTTTATTTTTTTAATATATTTTATTGATTTTTTACAGAGAGGAAGAGAGAGGGATAGAGAGTTTGAAACATCAATGAGAGCGAATCATCGACCAGCTGCTTCCTGCACATCCCCCACTGGGGATGTGCCCACAACCAATGTACATGCCCCTGACCAGAATCGAACCTGGGACCTTTCAGTCCACAGGCTGATGCTCTATCCACTGAGCCAAACCGGTTTTGGCTAAAGTTTTATGTTTAAACTGGTAGGGTCCCTAGCAACTGCCAGCTGCCAGCTGGGGCACCCATCCCATCCCCCAGCCACCTGCCTCCGCTGGGGCCTCCCTCCTTCTCCCCGCCCCCCCCCCCTCCCCGCCGGCCCTGCCCCTGGTCGATCTTCTGGACAAACTGCTGGTCAAGGGGACAGTTTGCATACCATACTTTTATTATATAGGATTTAATTTATTGGAGTGACATTGGTTTGTTTCACGTGTACAACTCAATAAAACATCATCTGCACATTGAATCTTGAGCTCATTGCTCCAAGCAGTCTCTCTCTATCCCCATTTTCCTTCCCTTTGCCCACCTCCACCTCGTCCCCACCCTCCTTTCCCTCTGGCTATCACTGCACTGTGGTCTGTATCTATATGTTCTGTATATTTTTTGGCTAATCCCTTCACCTTCCTTCATCCAGACCCCCCTTCGCTCTGAGATCTGTCAGTCTGTTCTGTGTCCATGCCTGTTTCTATGTTGTTGGTCAGTTTATTTCGTTCATTAGATTCCACATATAAGTGAGATCATATGGTGCTGTTTTTCTCTGGCTGGCTGATAGCTCCCCCCACCCCAGCTTCCAGCTAGCTGTAGAGTGGCTTAACACTCAGTATGCATGGAGAGCCGAGGATCACCAGGCATTTGAGGGGAGCCTTCAACCCAAGAGGCAGAGACTAAAACAAAGGAAGCAGACAAGGCTCAATGCAGAAAACTCCAACTTAAAGAAACGATCTATCTTTAGAGAGAAAATAGATATTGCAGCTGGGAAACAAGAACCGGATGCTATTTTTAAAATATGGAATAATCAAAGAGCTCTCGAAAATTTAAAATCTCCATGGAAGCCCAATGTAAAATACATTACAACGGCATATCATTAGCATAAATGTATGTTGAAGTGTGGAGGTGAGGCCCTGAGCTGTCGGGAATCCCGAGGGGGGGAAGGGCCACTCACACCCCTCTCAGCCGCTGCTGCTGCTGCTGCTGCTGCTGCTCCTGCTATTCTGCTCCACTTAGATTCTGAATTTTTCTTTGTGGTGTTTTCCCTATTTTTTCTGCCTATGGCCACTGGGGCTCACATTGCTTAATGTAATAATACCTCTAAAGTTAAGATGCTTTCAGCTTCAGGGAAGAGAAACTCCTCATTTAAACCAGTTCCATTCATATATAAAGACATTTATTATCTCGGCAAACAGGAAGTGGGTTACAGGAGGTGGTTTCTCATTTTCTTTAAAAACAAAACAAAACATAACAATGTGCATTTACCACTCATTTTTCTTAAAAACATAAATAAATAGAGCAGCCATACTGAAACGGGCACATAAGAAATTGTAATACACAGAACACTGATGTATTTATTAATGTGTGCTGCACAATCAGGAATTTTTGTAGACACCTCTTGCCATGACTGTGCCTTTAAATTGCTTTTTTTGTTGTTGTCACCGGAGGATATTTTTCTATTGATTTTTAGAGTGGAAGGAAGGAGGAAAAAAGAGAGAGAGAAACATCAATGTGAGAGAAACACATCGATGGGTGAACTCCCGGACTTGCCCGGACCAGGGCAAGGGGTTAAGCCTGCAACCAAGGTACATGCCCTTGACTGGAATCGAACCTGGGACCCTTTAGTCCTCAGGGCGATGTTCGATCCACTGAGGCAGCCTGGCTAGGGCTAAATATACTTCTTATTAATGCATTGTTATTCAGGAAGGTCAAAGCTCTGCCCTGGCCTCTTAAAAATTCAAACCTGTATGTCTGTTACAGGTGTTTAAGGGAGTATACCTTTACAGCATATGTTCACCACATCCAAATGGCCAGCAAACCCAGGCATTAGGTCATGTATTTTATCATGGTATAATGGTTAGTTATGACATTTTAATTATTTTACATTGGATTCCATTAAATTTCATTTGACAAAAAGATTCTTCTGCTAAAATGTCTTATTTCGGCCGGGACTGGTTTGGCTCAATGGATAGAGCGTCGGCTTAGGGACTGAGGGGTCCCGGGTTCGATTCCAGTCAAGGGCATGTGCTTGGTTGTGGGCATATCCCCAGTGGGCATATCCCCAGTGCAAGAGGCAGCTGATCAATGACTCTCATCGATGTTTCTAACTATCTCTCTCCCTTCCTCTCTGTACAAAATCAATAAAATATATTTAAAAATAAAATAAAATAAAAATAAAATGTCTTATTTCGATTCGCTTCCATTGTGCAAAATTAGGAAACATCAGAGTCTAATCTATTACTCCTGTGAAAAACAGATTTTAGGGAGGATAGTTGTCAGAGATGTTTACATTTAAAGTGATGGAGTTAATTTTACACAGCAAAGTTTAGTAGGATCTGTAAAGAAAGTGAATCAAAGTATGTTTGACTCCTGTGAGTGCAATTAAAATGTACTAATTTTCAAAGTTATGCATTATTTTTTTTTAAAGTACTAGTTCACATATTTTAAAATTCTACACAGAACTGGCTATTCACATTATGTATTTTACAATATTGCCACATAAAGACTTCCTTTGTGTAGGAGGAAAAAGAGATTCAGAGTCAAAAGTTCCTGATACTTAGAAAAGAAATTCCTTACTCAGATCACTCCTATGTCACTGCTATTATCCATACAACCATCTCATCGGAGCAGTGTGAGGAGTAAAAGAGATAGCGCACACAGATAACAAACTGCCCTTAGATTACCTTTCTCTGGCTTGGACAATACTGCGGTCTTAGTTTCTCAGAGGCCCTAAACAAGTAATCAATACAAAACTATTTTGCCGAACTAAAATGGTCACACCAATGCAAAAATCAACACGCAAAATCTTAAGCCTTTCTAAATCGTTCCAATGATGTTATACTGCTATGTGAAGAGCACATCTAATTATGTATAATCTGATCAGAGTCTCCAGTTATATTGCCTTTTTCATCACAGCGTGTTATTTACCAGAAACGCAATGCATCGATGATGCACAAGTAACAGAGGCCTGAGGTTTGCTAGAAGTTTTCAATGTATTATATTTTTAAATTATGCTGTAAAATCAGTAAACTCCGACCAGGATGTTTTATGATTACATCACAGCAAGCAACTGTCTATTGGGACAAAAAAGATATGCTGAAAGGCAAATAAGTTGCTATAATTAAATATGCACAGCTTATTGACATTTTTCTTAAAACAAAAAATGAGGGTTCATCCAGCGAAGCACAGGCATTCTGCCACCACCTCTGTTGGCAAATGGAATCCAATTCTAAACACTCCTGTGATCTTGAATGTCTTGTTAAGTGTCACAGGGCTTTTGTTTTTCTTTTAGCCACTAAATTTTTCAGGAAAAATTCACCTATTTAGGAAAAAAGAAAATAGATTAATTACACTTCAGTGCTTCCCTTTAAAGGAGATTTTTGTGTTTGTTGGCATTTCTCTCTTCTCAATGGCAATAATACCTCCTATATCTTTGGCTCTTTCCCCAACAATGATTAGTCATTATTCTTAAAAAAAAAAAAAAAAATTTATGAACACTACAATCTCTACTATAATTCGTTTTTTTCTCTTTATTATATTTTTTCCATCACCATTTACCCCCCCTTTACCCTCTCTCACCTCCACCCACCTCCCTCTCTCCTGCAATCACTATGTTGCCTGTTTTTTTTCCTGTTTTGTTCAATCCCTCCATCCCCCACAACCCGCCCCCCCACCAAAGCTGTCTGACTGCTCTCTCACTATGAGTCTTCTATTTTGCTTGTTAGTTCAGTGTGCTCATTAAATTCCACATACGGATGAAAGAATTTACTATTATCCTTTCTAGTAACTCAGTATTATAAAGCATGACCTGCTGTATCTGTGGGTCTTCAGTGCATTTATTGCACACTAAGTGCACGCTCCAGTGCTCATCACTGACAGAGGTATTGCTGTTGGCACGCTTCATTTCAGAGAGCAGTTCTGCTGCACGTTTAGCCTAGGTGTGGTGTTTATAAAACAGACCTCGTTTCAGTTGAGCAGGCTCATCTGATGGAATCTTTTAGCTCCTTCCCCTCTAGGGAAGCAAAAGCTCTTCCTTTACAATGGCTTCTTCTCACCCCCTGCGGTGTGTCTGTCACTGTGACAGCACAGCTCAGTGTTGACTGGCAGAACTCAGAGCTGCAGGTCTGATTTTATGAGGAGTCTGATCAAGCCTCTTTGTCATCTAAATATAGAGTAGAATTGCAACCAGCCCCGTATACAATCACAAAGAATCCCAAAGCTCATAAGCCAGCCACATAATGAAGAGAATAATCCTTGCTGCTCCACACCTCTATCTAAATCTGATAGGAGTGAAACCGACATTATTATCAGATCTTAATGCATGGTCTGGATAACCAGAATTTTATTTTTTACTGCTAATTTAAAAAGTATTAAAAATGTTCATAATTCACTTTCTTATAAATGTTAGAAAATTTCCTTAAAAACAGACACATGTACACAAAACCAAAACAACAAAGTAAAAACTCATTTCACATGACAGTACTCTACTGTAACCTCTCTGGAAGTGGACTTCTACTCTTTTTCTTGTTTTTAAATTTCTTTATTGATTAACCTGTTATCCTGGAGTTCCCTTTTTAATTATGCAACCTATAATGGGTGCGTACTCTTTCACTAGGACGTGTCAGTACGTCACGCCCGGAGGACGTAATTTCATATTATTATTTTTATTTGTACTTAATTCAAATAAATGATATATATATATTTCATTTATTTATTTATAAAGCACAAAGAAAAATACAAAATTACAAAAAAATAGAAAAAAATACCAACAAAAAAATGGAAGCATCGAATTAAAAAATTACAAATTTTACAAACAATTATAAAGATTACAAAAAATATATACCATCCCTCTCAGGGCACAACATATATTTCCAGGACGTATTCATATGTCCCTCCCGTTCCTAATATTGTTTACGTTTGACGTATTTATAGGTCCCGCTCAGTTAACAGGTTAAGGTATCACATATTTGTCCTCAACGCCCCCATTCTAATCCCTCACTCCTCCTCACTCATGCCCCCAACCCCCTATTGTCCTTGACCCCTGGTTAGGCTCATATGTATGCACATAAGTCCTTTGGTTGATCTCTCCCTTTTATCCCCACCCTCGCTCTGAGGTCCAACAGTCTGACCCATGGCTCCTTATCTCTGGGTCTGTTCTTGTTCATCAGTCTATGTTATATATAGTTTAAGCTTGCTAGCACTGGGTGAAGAATAAATTACTTGTAATATTAGTTTCTGAAGTCCCCACATCCTGTCAATGCATTCAATCAAAGTCTTGGGTTTTGTAACTAGAATAAGCTATTATTACTTCACTAAATTTCTTTACAGGAACACAATAAATATTACTTATAATTTGTATAATTATTATAAATATAACTCATGCCACATTTAAGCATATCTATAATTTAGACCCTAATATAAACAATCATTTAAAAGAGCATTAAGCCCTAGCCGGTCTGGCCTAGTGGGTAGAGCAGACCCAAGGGTCTGGGTTCGAGGGCATCAACAGTGGTTGCAGGCTCCTCCCTGGCCTGCCCCGTTCAGGGCTCCTGCAGGAGGCAACCAACTGATGTGTTTCTCTCACATCGATGTTTCTTTTATCTTTTCCTCTCTCTTCCATTCTCTCTAAAATCAATGGAAAAATATCCTTGGATGAGGATTAACAAATAAAAAAAGGGATAGAGCCGAAACTGGTTTGGCTCAGTGGATAGAGCATAGGTCTGTGGACTGAAAGGTCCCAGGCTGGATTCCGGTTAAGGGCATGTACCTTGGTTGAGGGCACATCCCCAGTAGGAGGTGTGCAGGAGGCAGCTGGTTAATGTTTCTAACTCTCTATCCCTCTCTTTTCCTCTCTGTAAAAAAAAAAAAATCAATTAAAAAAAATGTATATATTTAAAAAAGGGATAGAGCAGATAAAAATATTTTTAAAAATAAAATGAAATAAAAATAAAACATCATTAATAGTAACATGGCTCAGAAAAAAATTCAAAAAATAACTAGCTGTTTATTTTTCAAAATATTTTAATTAAATCTAAGTCACAGGGCAAATACCATAAAGATTTTTTGGATTAAATTCAATTTTCAGATATGTTCTCACAGACCTTTTGATGGCCGTTATCACATGATTTTTAATCTCTGGGAAAATGCTTTTATTTTCACTAGTCAGCTCAGACTATAGATCAAAATAAGAGCTGAAATTATAAAGGTGAAAAACTGCATGTAGTTAGTAAAAACAAAAAGTATTTATAGGGAAAATAATCTTATGAATTTTTTTCTGTTGCGTCTGGGAGGAAAAACATAAAGCTATTTTTTTAATTTTTATTTTTTTATTGAATTATTATCTGTGTACATATCTTACCATTGCCTCCCCCCCCCCCAAAACACACACACACACACACACACACATAAAGCTATTAATGTTGCGGGCAACAATACTTTTCAGGGTTTAATTTGATCTAAAATTTGAAATTTGGAGAAGCAGCTGGTGTCATTGTCAAATTGACCACGTTATCCTAAAAACCATGTTAGATACTTGATGGAACTTTGTCATTTCTGAGTAACCTACTAATGCAGTTCAAGAATAGAACAAACTGATTACTTCTGCTTTCATCAGAGTAGCTGAGCTATTACATATTAAGGTAGGGAAGGGAAGGATTCTTCATTTAACTAACAACTGAGAGTAAATTTTTCCTCAATATGACCCTCATGAAACAAATCTAAAGAAATTCCCCCAAACCCTCCCAACCTTTTTTCTTCTCCACAAAGACAAGCCCAACTATTAAGATGTAAACATGGAACCATCCCGTGCAGTCTGCTCACCTGCTTTATATGAGGAGCGCACCAGAGGGCCACTTGCCGTGTAATGAAATCCAAGGTCATTCCCCACTTTTTCCCAGTATTTGAACTTCTCAGGAGTAATGTATTCCTCAACCTAGATTTAAAGAATTAATTTTGATTCTTGAGTTGCCATACATCATTTTGATTCAACAGAAAATTCATACCCATGCATTCAAGGTGTTTTTTTAAAAAATTATTTACTGTTGAAATATTACCTATGCCTTCTTCCCTCCCCCATTGACCTCTTCTAGCCCGCCACCGCCCCCAGCCACCACCACCCTACTGTCTGTGTCCACAGATTATGCATAGATGCACACAAATTCTTTGGTTAATCCCTTCCCTCCCCTGCCTTCCGAGATTGCACAATCTGTTCTACGCTTCTGTGTCTCTGGATCTATTTTGTTCATTTGTTTATTTTGTTCATTAGATTCCACATATGAGTGAGATCATGTGGTACTTATCTTTCTCTTATTTGGTTTATTTCATTTAGCATAATATTCTCCAGGACCCTCCATGCTGTCTCAGGTTTTAACAGATTCTTCTTTTTTACTGCTGCATAGAATCCCATGGTATAAATGTACCACAGCTTTTTTATCCACTCATCTGCTGATGGGCACTTGGGAACTTAACTATTGTAAATTGTGAGGGTTTGATTCTGGTCAAGAGCACGAGCTTCAGTTGCAGGCTCGGAAAGTCTCCCTCTTCTGACTTTCCCTCCCTTCCACTCTCTCTAACAATCAAACAAATAATACAAAGTGGTATCTACCTTTGCACAATGACTTCTTATTCTGGTTTCTGCCGGATTTTGTTTGATAATGATCATTAGCATCTGAAGGGAGCCTTGCTTTTCCCCTCCTTCTTCCCTCTCCCCATCCTGTCCCCTCCCTAACTGGAAGTCAGACACCCTCAGCAAAAGAGTAAGCCTGAGAATTATTCTCAGACAGAAGACACTGTCTGAGCTTATTGTCACAAAGGTTTAACATTTGTTTTGCATGTGATTTTATTCTTCGATTACTCTGTTTCATGGGAACCATTACAGAATTCTGGAAGGCAAATTTATATGGCAACTATTTCCTTTAGCTTGGCTAAAATAAAAATTTTAGGTTCAGAATATCCTTGCAAAGGTTAACATTATTTGCAAATCTTTATATAATTTTATTCTTATTTTAATGTGTTGGTTGTTGTCATTGCTACAGGTGTGAAAAAGTTGAAAGATGTGGAATATCTGGGGACAGCAGCCAGTGTTTGCCTTCATTCAGACTATGCTGCTGCTCTTTTAGAAGGCAAAGTCCAGTTACACTTGGTAAGTATGATTTTAATGTCCCGGAGGCCTGCTCAGTTAACCCAGTGATGACGATGAATCTGTCTTATTAAAAACTTCGGTCAGGAAGCAACCTTGTACAGACTAGCTGGAAAGCCAGATGTGGATAAAGGAGTAACAGAAATCTTGACCCTTCGGCAGGAGATGTTCAATTTGCTTTCTAGCTCTATTCCTAAGAAACCCAACAGTTTGTCAACTGTGCTACTTTTAATACTGCTTATGGTAAAAACGACCCTATTGCTAACTGTATGCAGAAACCACAAGTGAACTATAAAAGCTGATGGGAATGCCATACATCTGGGTCTCCTGGAATGCACTGACTCATACATTTAGGCATGTTGCTTGTGGGAGGTCCTTGAAGCTATGCCTCTTGAGTTGTTCAAGAGATATTGGCCCTGGAATATGGGCCTTCCAAACCAGGGCATCTTCCACATCTGTTCTTGGCTCTTTGCTTCTGAGAAGCCAGAGATCAGCCACTGGACACCTTCAGAGCCTGTGAGGACTGTTCCGTTAGAAGGGTGTCTAATGCTGCCCTGCCCATAAGCCGTGCTTCCTGCCTGATGCCTTTCTGAGCAAACTGGCCTATGTCATCTGCCGAGTGTGAATGTTTAATTGAACCTCCCCTACGAGCCACTGCTATTCTTTGTTTTAGATAGAAAGTGAACTCTTGGATACTCAAGAAGAGCGTGAGACTCGACTTTTCCCAGCAGTGGATGATAAGTGCCGGATATTACGTCATGCCTTAACTGGTGATTTCCTCATCTATGGCACAGATGTACGCATTGTCTTCTTTAATATAGAACACGGGGCAATTTCTAGTTTTTATTTTGCAATATATTTATTTTTATGTATATACAAATAAGGTATCCCCAAAAATGTACACACACACATTGAATAATTATAAAGGCAGTGTTTTTTAAAATACATTTTTACAATTGAACTATCAGATCTTAAAGTATGTGTACATATTTTTGGGACACACTGTATAAATTATATAATATATGTTATATATTATGTATTATATAAAATATATAACTATTATAAAATAGACACAAATAAATATATGTAGAGCACATAGTTAGCATGATTTGTTAGTAATGAGTGCTTCTGTGGTTATAAGCAATGTTGAGAGCACAGTAAAAAGGGCAAATTATTGAGTGTAGAGAATCTAGATTTAAATATCAGCTTGGTTTATTTTTTAACTTACAGGTAGATTCTAATTTAATTTAATTTTTAAAATTTATCTTATTGATTTTAGAGAGGAAGGGAGAGGGAGAGTTCGAAACAATGAGAGAGAAACATCCATCAGCTACCTCCTGCACACCCCAACCAAGGTGTATGCCCTTGACCAGATTCAAACCGGGACGGACCCTTGAGTCCAAGGGATGACACTATCCACTGAGCCAAAACTGCTAGGCAATGCTAGTTCTGTTTTTGCTTGTTGCTCTTTAACCCCTCCCAAGCCTCATTGTCTTTATCTAGATGCTTTAAGGACTTAATTTGATGACGAATATAAGACACCTCATTCAACTTTCGATTTCCAGTTCCTATGTTTAGTAGGCTTTAATAACTATTAAGACTAATGGAATTCTGAGGACCAGTGTTTTGGCCCTTTGAACCACCATTACCCTATACCTCTAAGTATTATGTTAGCCACATGGACATAAAGCATAGGTATAGTAATAGCACCTAATATTTGTAAAAACTTTTTCAAAGACTTTTCAAAGCATAGCATACTTATCTTGTTTAGTCTCTAAATTCAGTAAAGTTGGAAGAAAAGATGTTTTCCACATAAGAAGAAAATTATTCACTATTTCCATTTTCTCTAATTGAATTGTTTATTAAAAAGAGCATGTCTTGCCGAAACCGGTTTGGCTCAATGGATAGAGCGTCGGCTTGGGGACTGAAAGGTCCCGGGTTCTGTTCCGGTCAAGGGCATGTACCTTGGTTGCGGGCATATCCCCAGTAGGGGGTGTGCAAGAGGCAGCTGATCGATGACTCTCTCTCATCGATGTTTCTAACTCTCTATCTCTCCCTTCCTCTCTGTACAAAATCAATAATATATATATATATATCTTAAAAAAAAAAAAGAAAAAAAAAAGAGCATGTCTTAAAAAATGCTCATTGCCATTGAGAGACTTTATAAGTTGAAAATAATCAGTATTTGTGCTAATTTACACCAGTAGGGTAGGTCTGGTGTATCAGTGAAGTAGTGATTGTGGTAAATAACATTAAATACAATACGTTTGCATGACACCTAACATTATAAAGCCTGATCTCACTCATCTCAGTAACTATATAAAATAAGCAGGGACATTTTAGAGATGGGACACTGAAGACTGGGAGGTCACTAAGTTTGTGACAGAGGTGGAACTTGAACAAGCAAGATTTCCTGATGGAAAATGTACTCTTTCCACTATGCCACAGGCACTTTGAAGTAAGAAATCAAAGTACAGTCGCCTGTCAATAAGGCAGTATTTATCTGTCTCATTCTTTCCCATAACTAAAGTATAATTGACATAAAATATTATATTAGTTCCAGATGCATAATATAATGATTTGATATTCATATATATTACAAAATGATCACCACAGTAAGTCTAGTTAACATCTGTCACCATACATAGCTACAAAATTTTGTTTCTTATGAATCTGAAAATATTGGGGCTTTCTAGCAGCTTTATTGAAGTATAACTGGAAATAGACTACACATGTTAAAGTTAAGTTCTGACATATGTATACACCTGTGAAACACCATCAGCTCAATCAAAATAATGGACATATCTGTCACCTTTAAAAGTTTTCTCAATCCTTCCCACCCCTCCCCATTTAGTGCTTTGTCACTATAAATTAGTTTGTATTTTCTAGAGTTTTATGTAAATGGAATCACATAGTAGGTATTCCTTCTTGTCTGGCTTTAGTGTAATTATTTTGAGATTCATCCATGTTGGTGTTTGTGGCAATAGTTCCATCCTTTTTCTTGCTGAGTAATAGTCCATAGTCAGCATCCTATCTAATAAGAGTAACATGCAAATTAACCATCACTTTGCAATAAAAATGGTCACACCCACAGCCAATAAGGAGGGAATATGCAAATTGATGGGCCAAAATGGTGGTACCGCCAGTGGTGCCTGACAGAAGAGCAGAGAGGGAGATGGGTGGGAAGGCTTGGCATCCTTGATTGCCCCAGCGATCAGGACGCCAAGCCTGATGGGAAAGCTGAGCAGGAGAGTGCTTGGGAGAAGGCTGGCATCCTGGATCGCCCCAGAGCAGAGCGGAAGATGGGCTGGAAGGCTTGGTGTCCTGAGTCGCTGAGGAAGGCAGTTGTGGGGACCAGGCCTGCAGGGGAGGGCAGTTAGGGGCAATTAGACCAGCAGGGGAGCAGTTAGGCATCAATCAGGCTGACAGGGGAGTGGTTGCAGGTGATCAGGCTGGCAGGCAGAAGCAGTGAGGGGCAATCAGGCAGGCAGGCAGGCAGGAGAGCGGTTGGGAGCCAAACGTCCTGGATTGTGAGAGGGATGTCCGCTGCCTGCTTAGATCCAATCTCACCGGTGGGATTGGGCCTAAACAGGTAGTTGGACATCTCTTGAGGGGTCCCAGATTGGAGAGGGTGTAGGAGGGCTGAGGGACACACCTCCACTCCTGGTGCACGAATTTCGTGCACTGGGCCTCTAGTATATTATAATTTGCTCATCTGTGGGTGGATATTGATGATGTTTCCAGTTTGGGGTATCTACAAATAAAGCTGCTATAATTATTGGTGTTCAAGCCTTTGTGTGGACATATGCTTTCTTTTATCTTAGATAAAAACACCTAGAAGTGGAATGGCTACATCATATGCCATGTGTATGTTTAATCTTTTGAGAAACTGACGAACTGTTCTCTAACTTGGTTGTACCATTTTACACTCCCAACAACAGTATATGTGTTCTAGTTCCTTACATCAGGGGTGGGGAACCTTTTTCTGCCAAGGGCCATTTGGATATTTATAGTATCATTCAAGGGCCATACAAATTATCAACTTAAAAATTAGATTACTATATTTGGTCATTTAATGAACTCACCCTTGATGCCTTGGCAGGGCCCAACAAAAATGATTCCATGTGTCTTATATAGCCCGAGGGCTGGATGTTCCTCACCCCTGCTCTACATCCTCACAAACACCTGATACTGACACGCTTTACTTTTAGCCATTCTAACAAATGTGCAATGATACTCCATTTTAATTTCAATTTGTATTTCACTGATGGACTAATGATGTATAGGTATCTTTTCATATACTTATATGCTATCTATTTCTCTTTAATGAAGTATCTGTTCAGATTTTTTTAAAAAAATATATTTTATTGGTTTTTTACAGAGAGGAAAGGAGAGAGACAGAGAGCTAGAAATGTCGATGAGAGAGAAACATCGACCAGCTGCCTCCCGCACACCCCCCACCGGGGATGTGCCCGAAACCAGTGTACATGCCCTTGACTGGAATCGAACCCAGGACCCCCCAGTCCGCAGACCGACGCTCTACCACTGAGCCAAACCAGCTTCGGCCAGATTTTTTTATTATGTCTTAATTGACTTGTTTATTTTCTTATTACTGAGTTTTGAGAGTTCTTATACATTCTATAAAGTTTTATGCAAATGTAAAACACAAATCTTTAAATTTGCTAGAAGACGTAGGAGAAAAACATTGCAACCTTGGGTTAGGCAAAAGATTAAAAAAAAATAATAATAATTCTTTATTGTTGAAAGTATTACATATGTCCCCCTTTTCTCCCCACTGATCCCCTCTAGCCCATCCCCTGCTCCTTGCCCCAGGCCCTCACCACCCCATTGTCTGTGTCCATGCACCATGCAGATATGGATACTAGGTCCTTGGTTGATTAACTCCCACTTAACCCCTTCCCCTCACCACTGCCTTCCCTCTGAGAATCTGTACTCTATTCCATGCTTTCATGTCTCTGGATCCACTCATTCATCAGTTTATTTTGTTACCTAGAGTCCACATATGAGTGAGATCATATGATTTGTCTTTCTCTGACTGACTTATTTTACTTATTATTAGCATGATACTCTCCAGGACACTCCATGATGTCTCAAAGGGTAAGAGATTCTTCTTTTTTACTGCTGCATAGTATTTCATGGTATAAATGCACCACAGATTTTTTTTATCCACTCATCTACTGATGGGTACTTGGGCTATTTCCAGATCTTAGTTATTGTAAATTATGCTGAACAGCCCTAACCAGTTTAGCTCAGTGAATACAGCGTTGGCCTGCAGACTGAGGGGTCCCAGGTTTATTCCGGTCAAGGGCATGTACCTTGGTTGCGGGCACATCCCAATAGGGGGTGTGCAGGAGGCAGCTGATCAATGTTTCTCTCTCTCATCGATGTTTCTAACTCTCTGTCCCTCTCCCTATCTCTCTGTAAAAAGTCAATAAAATTTTTAAAATTTTTTAAAAATTATGCTGAACATAGGAGTGCATACATTCTTTTTGATTGGTATTTTAGTTTTCTTAGGATATATTTCTGGAAGTGGGATCAATGGGTCAAATGGCAGTTCTATATTTAATTTTTTGAAGAATCTCCATACTGTTTTCCATAATGGCTGCACCAGTTTGCATTCCCACTAGCGTGTACTGGAGTTCCGTTTTCTCCACATCCTCATCACCACTTAGAGCTTAATATTTCAATCTTCTTGAACTTGTAGACTTGTTTTGTGTCCTAACATGTTATCTATCTTTGTGAATGACCCATGTATCAGGGTGTGGACTTGTCTAGGTTCTTCTTGCTTGGGATTCTGTGCCTTCTGAACTTGTATGACATTTTCCTTCACCAAGTTAGGGAAGTTTTCTGCCATTATTTCTTTAAACACACTCTCTATCCCTTGCTCACTTTCTTCTCTTCTGGCACTCATATTATGTGAATACTGTTATGTTTCATGTTGTCCCATAGCTCCCTTAAGTGTTCCTCTTGTTTTTTTTCTTTTTGTTTCTTGGATTGAGTGATTTTTTTTCTGCCTGTCATCTAACTCACTGGTCTGATCCTCGGTTTCCCTTAATGTGCTGTGTAGTCCTTTCAATGTGTGTTTTTTATTTATTTATATTTATATTTTTTTTATTTTTATTTTTATTTTATTTTTTTAGTAATATTAAACATTTATATAACGTTTCATAGTTTTAAAAGTATGTTTACTGTATTTTCTCATATTATTTCACAATTAGTCCACTGAAATAGGTTGAGTATTATTCTCATTTTAGAGGACTTAAAGAATTTCAGCAACATGTTTGTAAATAGTGGAGGTATATTAGAAATCAGAAACTGTCTTAGACCAGTGCTCTTTCCATTACATTCAAATGCTTATAAAATTTGGGGAAGTCTCTTTTGGGTAGTTTGGTAGGAAATCTGAAATTATTTTGTAGAAATAGAGGGAGAACTGTTCTGAAGACTTGCTTTTGGTTCTTAGAGACAAAACTGACTCTGCTACATTCTTTAGAGCTGAATCTATAATGCAGAAGGTTCTTAGAGGAGAGCAGTTGCACATTCCCAGGAGTTGGGCAGAAACAAGCTGTCTCTCCCGTATATTTAGTTTAGGGATGAATTTGGGTATTTGTGCTTTATCCTTTCAGGACTTTTAAAGCAAGATGGCCCATTTGGGAGGAGATAATGGCAAATGTGCTGAGGATACTGAGGATACTGGTTGCTGTATCTTTTCTTAACACTGCTGCTGGGGAGTGGGAAGGAAAGTTCCTGCCCTCTCTGAAAGTAGCGTTTCCTCTTGTGTTTTTTTTTTTTTTTTTTAATCATTACTATATCATTCTGTATTTCTGACTGGTCTTTTTTCTTAGTTACTGTATCTTCTCCCATGCTGTTGAGCATCTTTGCTATCATTATTCTGAACTCTATATCTGATAAATTTCTTATCTCTATTATCTTCTTCTGGCGAATTCTCTTATTCTTTCATTTGGGCTTGTTTTTTGGCTGCCTTTTTGGATTTGTGTCTATGTATTAGATAGATAAGCTATGACTCTAGTGCAGAATGATGTCAAATGCCTTTTCTATCTGGCCCTGAGTATCCTATTTAGATCAATCAGTAACCCACAGCTCACTCTGCTTGGGCTGGGTGCCTTCAGAAAGGACCAAGATGTGCACTAGGGTCTGCTTTTTCTAGCCCCTGGGCCTGAAGAATCAAGCAAAGATTCAGAGCCTCCAGAGCTCCTCCTCTGCCTGCAATCCAACTGACAATCAGTCTTGATTAGCCTCAGGCTATTGATCATAGGGTTGGGGGAGAGGTCTTCCAACATGGTGGGACAACTGCCTTTCCCCCAGAAAAAAACTGCCTAGGTAGCAAAGGTTTGTGAAGAAAGACCACTCTTAGCATGGGGGTAGACCCTGGAATTCTCAGTGGGAATCCCCTGCAGCTGAGATATCCCTCTGGACCTTCATCTGCTGTTTGTGGGAGCCCGGTCAGCCCTTTTGCGTCTCCATACTTTCTACCAGTCTCTATGCTATCTCTGCTTTCCATCCTTGGTTATCAGAGTTCTCTCCAGCCAGTCTTTAGTTGAGCTTTCAGGTTGATTTTTCTGTATTTTAGTTGTATTTCCAGTTTGGTCCTGATAGAATGTAAGTGTAGCTTCCTCTTACTCTGCTGCCGTTTTCAATCTCTTTATTTTTGTTTTAATTCTTCATTGTTTAAAGTATTACATATGTTTCCTTTCCCCCCCTTGACCTCTCCCCAGCCACTCCCACCTCCCAGCTGTCAATCATCCCCCTACTGTCTGTGTCCATTGGTTTTGCCATTTAAAATCTCTTAAGGTGGTTTTTAACTTCATAATTTATCCAGGCGCACCCAGGTTTCTTCTTTTACCTTCTTACTGACTACCTGTCTACTAGTTACCTTGCTGGCCACTCTATCAGAACATAATTAGAGGGAATTAGAAAGGAGGGGAACATCAATTTTGTATCATATTAGCTATTCCAAAGGATAGACAAAGAAAATGATATTGTTTATAAAGATTATATATCTGCATCACTCCTTTATGGACTAACAAATATAATCAAGAATTAGTTACTCCTATATAATTCTTGAGGACTACGCTGTGTATTATTCATTTTGTATCTTCTGCTTAGCATTGTTTTTGGCATATGGTCACTACTCAAGAAAAGTTTCTTGAATTAACGACTAAGTGTCCAATATAAAAATAGGAAGACCACTTTGTCTCTGGCTCTTCATATAACTCTGAAACAAACCACAAGATCACCATTGGGAATGAATATAATTTCCCAACTTTTAAATATAGTTTTTTGTTGGCTTGCTTAAGTCACATAATTTTGAGGGCAGGAAATAAGTGCCAGAACTGGAACTGGAAAATATACATGGAACATATTATTAAAAAGCCAGCAGTGGCGTGGCTCAGTGGTTGAGTGTTGATCTATGAACCAGGAGTCATGGTTTGATTCCCCGTCAGGGCACATGCCTGGCCTGTGGGCTTGATCCCCAGTTTGGGGCATGTAGGAGGCAGCCAGTAAACAATTCTATGTCATCACTGATGTTTCTTTCTCTCTCTCTCTCCCTTTCTTTCTGAAATCAGTAAGAAAAAAAATATATATATATATTTTAAAGAAAAGCCAGCAGTTTTATAATTTTACCTGTGGAAAATAAAGATTTAATTAAAATTACCAACATTTGGCAATTCATCGTAGCTGTACCTTGAGGTGGCGCTTTGTTGGCTGCATATACTGTCCTAACGTCAAACAGTCCACATCTGCCTCACGAAGTGCTGGAGAGGAAAAAAAATACATTATATAGCAGATGATTCTATGAAGCTAAAATTGTACATTTAAGCATAATTTTCCAGAAAGTAATTTTACTATAGAACAGTGTGAACTTTATCCTGGCCTACAATACTGATGTTGGAAAATAAGACTGTATCCATTCATTCAAAGGTATTTATGTGTCGGGAGATATGGTAAAACAAGACTGAAAACAAGAATGATTAAAACAATCATGTGGGGCCGATCTAAGGATGAATGACTCCAGGAATATGGAATAAATGTTAAAATAGGGTTGGAAAGTATCTAGAGTAAGAATCTGTTAGGCAGAAAAGATGAAAAGAACTGTATATCAAAGACCCAAAAACACCCACATTGTAGACCAGACATGTTTTCTAGAGGCCTGGTGCATGAAAACTCATGCACAGTAGGGGGAGCGTCCCTCAGCCCAGCCTGCTCCCTCTCACAGCCCAGGAGCCCTCAGGGGCAGGTGACCTGGAGATCAGGGGAAGGTGACACCCACATCACACCTCTGCTGCTGCCACTGCCAGCAGTGCAAGCCTCAGTTGGCCCTGGTTTTCTTAGCCTTGGGAAGCCCTGGGCAACCGTGCAGCCGCCATCCGAGGCTTGCCTGCACCTCGGGCCAGCCCTAGGCACCCCAATCTTGTGGCTGTGGGTGCTGCCATCTTGAGGGTATAGCAGTCAACTGGCATATTCCCACCTTATTGACGGTGAGTGCCACCATATTTGTGAGGTCAATGAGTATATTCCCTCTTTATTAGGATAATATAAGGCTTTAGGTAATTGTACAAGGTATGCACTGAAGATGTGATTTGATCTCTGACTTCAGAATCTTTCTAGTAAAACTTTATGAACTGTGATAAAGAGAAGCTTTCAATTACTATTTGAACTCATTACTCTTTGAAATAATAAATAGCTACAAGAAGGCCGACTTTAAGATAAAATAAAAGCTGTTATATTTAAAAATTTAAAAAGCCTAAGAATCACAAAGCAAATGAGCTTATGGGACTAAGGTTAGAAAAGTCCAAAATATATCATGTTATGTGACAATGTTGCCAGTAAGGTCTTTCTCAAAGGCCCGGATTCATCTTACTCATCTTTGAACTGTCAGTGCTGGCCAAAGCACCTGGTACCTGGATAGCTTTCAAAATTGTCCGACTGAACAAGAAAAGTGGACACAATCATGTTTTCACTTGATACAAGGGCAGAAAATAAAATGGGATGCAAATTTCATATCTTGACCTTCTTGCATATCATTCCACAAAATTCTAAGGAAACATATACCCTTCCCTTTTTACATTACTGTTTATAAGCATATACTGTACTTAATTCTTACTGGAACTTTCACTATGATTATGGAGGGAATCATAACGGGGCCTTCAAAGTGGGGATCCTGTTCAGCTAGTGTGGCTCAGTGTTAGTGCATCGGCCCATGAAGCAGAAGGTCACAGCTCAATTCCCAGTCAGTGCATGTGCTCAGGTTGTGGGCTCCATCCCCAGCAGAAGGCATGCTGGAGGCAGCCCATCAATGATTCTCTCTCATCATTGATGCTTCTATCCCTCTCTCCCTTCCTCTTTGAAATCAATAAAAAAAATAAAAAAAAAATAAAAAAAAAGTGGGGTTCCTGCCCTACCTGGTTTGGCTCAATGGATAGAGCATCCGCCTGCAGACTCAAGGGTCCCAGGTTAAATTCCCATCAAGGGCATGTACCTTGGTTGCGGGCACATCCCCATTAGGGAGTGTGCAGGAGGCAGCTGATCTCTCATCGGTGTTTCTAACTCTCTATCCCTCTCCCTTCCTCTCTGTAAAAAAATAATAAAATATATATTTTTTAAAAGTTGGGTTCCTGCTGTTATTCAAATGAAATGATAAAGAGTTTTAATTTTCAATTCCTTTACCTTTCATTGTTGCATATACTTGCTCATCGTCCTCGCCTAAACCCAACATGATGGACGTTTTAGAAATGACATCAGGCTGGACCTCCTTGGCATGCTTCAGGACCCGCAGAGACTGCTCGAAATTGGCCCTGGGATCACGAACTTTCCTTGAAAACAGCAGGGCTGTTGTCAGCAACAATAACCACAAGCTCAACTGAGCACATAGTTATGTAAGCAATATGAAAGACCAGGAAAGTACATTCTGGACATTACATTACATTATATGGTTCAGCGGTAAAATTTGTGCACCAAAGCCTAACTATTACTTTAGGATAGAAAATAAGGCTTTGCCGGGCGCCCTTGCTGTCGACTTTTAAGGCCTTTCAAGTCTGGGGCAGAGAAAACTAAAATAAAAGTAATTCAATTTATGAAGTACTTGAGGAGAAGCTAGAATTCTGAAGCTGAGAGTAAGTGATTATAAGGGGACGTAAAGAAAAAAAAGGAAAAAAGAGTGGAAGAAAATCTCCATACTGAACAAAGAAAAAACTGTTTAACTTAAACCCACATTTCAGGGCTGAAACTTTTATCATTTTTCAAAAGACTAGGCTGCCCTCTGCTGGTAAGTATACAACATTGACATCTCCTAGTTTTAAAAAAAAAAATGCAGGCTTCTGGAATTTTCACTGGAAAGGATAATGTTTCTTAAGTGAAAACAGGGAAATTGGCACCCACTGCCGTGGTATGAGGAGATAGGGCAGGGTTGGAACAGGCTGTGTGCCAGACTAAAACGGGGGCCAAACCACATGGTTTAAATTGGGACAAGGCCCAATGGATAGAAATTGCTGATGGTTGCCTGGCTGGTATGGCTCAGTAGTTGAGCATCAACCTATGAACTAGAACCAGGAAGTCATGGTTCAATTCCTGGTTAGGTCACATGCCCCAGTTGCAGGCGTGCAGGAGGTAGTGATCAATGATTCTCTCTCATCATTAATATTTATATTTTCCTCTCCCTTCTTCTCTGAAATCGACAAAAATATATATGTTTAGAGCTGCTGATGTTAAACCAGCATTCATTTGAATTCAAAAGCAACCTTTATTTTGGGTAATTGATTTGTTGTTGTGGTTGTCATTTTTAACCAGAGACCATTTCACTGAGAAGAGAGGAAGCCAATTTATGAGTTAAAAAATAACCACAAAACTGATAATACAGAAAGTCATTATTTTCGGAAAGTATTTCTCCACTGAATTTAAATTATGCTCCCTAATGTTGGAAATGATGGCTATTCTTTATCATACTTCTTTTAAGTTCTATTATAATGTCTATAAATTAACAAAATCATTGTCAAAACTTTACTAAAATTAATAAAAATGAATGTTAAAGGTTAAAATAATTTTTTTTGAAATATGAGCATAGTCACAATGTGGAATAACAATCTATAATTATTCCTAGCCACTAAAATTTTTAGAAAAAGTACAGAAGTATAGTGTCTACTTTTTAAGAGAGATTTAAAATACATCTGAATACCAGTTTTTCTTTGTCTTCATTTATTGCATATCTTAATGCCAAATACATTTTATAGAATTTTTGTTTCTTTTTAGAATTACACTCAAAGTAATTGCTCTTGTGTAATTTTTTTTTTAACACTGTTCCTTGAAAAAAATAACTCATTGGCATTTCTAATAAGATACCATCAAAAAGAGCAAAAACGTTGCTCATTTTGTGTGTATAACAAAACATACAATGCATAAATATATAAGATATTTATACCTGGATGTTGAAAATTGATATTATGGGTAGAAATATTATGGGTGATGATCACATTCTTTCGTTGGCAATATTATCTAATTTTTCTATCATAGGCTTATTTATGTGGTTTTTGTTAAAAAAAAATTCACTGTATAAAAGTCTATTACAAAGTTCTTTGAAAAAGTGAGAAAACATTCCAATATTACTCTGTATGTGTAATCACCTCTGTAATTCTGGAACTGTTTCTACATTATGTGCATATACATCTAATCCTGACAGAGCGACTTTTTCTATTGCTTTAAGGTCTCCTCGGAAATCAGGAGTGAGACATTCCACAAGAATTTTTGGATTCCTAAAGGAAAAAAAGATAAGCATTAAACTGGGAAGGAGGACTGACATAACTGCTGCTCAAAACAGAAATCACCCCACACATTCTTTATCACTTTCAACACAGTAATCTTTAGAACCCTGCCCCCCAAAGCATGAACATACAAATGTTTATATCTGAAATTGTTTAATGAAAAAAATAAATCCAGAACATCAAATAATATGTACACAGTGGTTAAAATACACCTGTAAGCAAATGACAATCAGGATACATTTTGAGACTGTGCAGATATTTAAGCGTTACTAAGAAGGCATGTAAAAAAATATATTTTTAAGGGATCAAAATATAAATGTTAAGATATTAAATATAAAATGTTTTTTAATTTTTAGAAAGTAAATTGGGATATTTCTATGTGAATGTAAACATTATTTGATTGCTTTAATTTTTATTTATTTTAAAATTCATCAAATAGGACTTTCCTCTCTCCCTCTAGGCAAATATTTCACAAGGGCTATGGGCTTTAAAAGCGATTCTGAGTTGCAGAGTCAAGTTGAGCTTTGCTTAAATAAAATGTAAGCTAAATATTAATCTTCCTATATATATTAGCTATATCTATGTATTCAAGCACTGAACTGTGAACTAGCTCATAGAGCTGCTTTCTCTGACAGCAGAAGAAATGACCGGGACAGCTGACAAATTTTTCCACAAACCCAACTGCGAAATTTCTGGAGCTGTTTCCTAAGAGAACAGATGTAAAAAAATATACCCTCCCATCAATATAAATGGTATTAAAAGAACACATCCTATAACTCACTGTTTGTTAACTGCAAGTTGAAACCCATTAGTAGTTTGTGAAATCAATTTAATAGGCTGCAAACAAACATTTTTTAATGAATTATAAAATATATTAAATAGAAAATATTACAGGAATTATTGAAGAAACATTTACTAAGTATGTAGGTGTTAGACTAGCACTGAGCTATAGGAAATAGACATAACTCCCTTTCTAAATCTTTTTAAATGGACAAGGTTAAAGTCGGGAAAAAAATGTGGATTATGGGTAAAATTTCAAGGACATATAAATACAGATAAACTCTATATCAAGACTTACATGTTTTTATAATGCGGGAGCTTATCTTATCCTTATTCCTTCTAGATGATGATTTATTCAAAATCAGTGCTAGGAAGACTGCAGCTGTATACTTCTTTTAAAATTACTCAAAGGAAATTTAGACTAGCACCAAATACTAAGCAAGGCTCTATGCAAAGGTTCATGGATGAGTTCATGTCCTCGAATCCCTAAAATTTCTGCAAATAGGCATCTATATATATATATATTCACATATACTTTTTTCTGGCAGATAATTTCCAGCAGATTATCAGAGGGATTTATAACATCCCCCATCCCCCACCAAAAAGAAAAAAAAAAAAAAGAGTTAATAGCTATTGCTTTGAAGTAAAGACCATACTGAATTTATATGAGACAAAAAAAAAAGTCCTTAAATTAAACAAGTACCTTTCCTTTAAGTATGATACAGTCTTTGCAAAGTGCTCAGCTCCTCCATCAGGCAAATCTAGAAACAAGAGAGCCCACTGCTCAAGGTGATGCCACAAATTAGTAAGAGCCAATTTCTGGAAGAGGTAGTAACGACACTAACCATCTCGATCCACAGATGTCAGGACAACATAATCCAGGCCCCACTCTGCTATTGCCTTTGCAGTATTGTAGGGCTCATTGGCATCTAGTGGTGGTGGCTTTCTTGCAGTCTTAACAGAACAAAATCTGCATCCTCTTGTACATGTGTCACCCATCAACTAAAACAGAGATGTTACAATTTCAATCAAGTAGATAGATGACCCTCAAGAATACAATGTTGAGAGGATAAAGTTACAAAGAATGAATACAATTTTATTCTGCTTATAAGAAATTTGAACCATTCAAAGCTAAGCAATATAGTTAAGGGACACAAATATAATGTGGTAAAACTAGGAAAAAAAAGGAAATGATAAACTCAGGACTAAGAATGGTGCTAAAGGAAAAAGAAAGGGGATGGGATCAGCAAAGAATGCACAGGAGGATTCAAAGATGATGCTGACGTTCTACTCAAACTGGAGGTATGGGGTTATTTGCTATATTGATATTCTTACATGTAAGTTATAAAGATTCTTTTGTATCTACTTAATATTAGTAAAATGATTTAAAAGAAATATTTAATGAACATCAGTATGCAGGTCTATGGAAATTAAATAGACGGCACAGCTCCTTCTTGTTAAAGAGATGAAACAGGAAACACATAAAAAGTTAGTAATCTGCTTTCTGTGGGTCTCACTTTCCCCAGGGCAATGCTTCTGCTGCCACAGGTCACTACCATGCCTGCCCGCTGCAAGCACAGCCATTGCAGATGTTCCGTAGGGTTTGTAGTTTAGGGGAGAAAGCTCCTCTCCCCCTTGAACTCTCTCAGAGGGGACTCACAGCAATGATGCTTAGGCCCAATGTCTCAGAGTTTTACTCAAACCATAAACTCCCCCCAAGAATCAGTTATGTGCCGGAACTGGTTTGGCTCAGAGGATAGAGAGTCGGCCTGTGGACTGAAAGGTCCGGGGTTCGATTCCAGTCAAGGCCATGTACCTTGGTTGCGGGTACATCCCCAGTGGGGGGTGTGCAAGAGGCAGCTGATCGATGACTCCCTCTCATCGATGTTTCTAATTCTCTATCTCTCTCTTCCTCTATGTGAAAAATCAATAAAATATATATATTTTTTAAAAAAGAATCAGTTATGAGTCAACAGTGGGAAAGGGGATCTGGTAAGGGGTGAAGTCAGAGATCCCCATCATGGAATATTCAGAATTACTCCTTCAAGAACTGAATTAGTATAACTTTGATAAGCTCCTGGTTGGCTCTGCATTATAATAAGGAGCTCTATCTCCTGGTTAGCAAACTGCGGCTCTACAGCCACATGCAGCTCTTTGGCTCCTTGAGTGTGGCTCTTCCACAAAATACCACGGCCTGGCGAGTCTATTTTGAAGAAGTGGCATTAGAAGAAGTTTAAGTTTAAAAAATTTGGCTCTCAAAAGAAATTTCATTCGTTGTACTGTTGATATTTGGCTCTGTTGACTAATGAGTTTGCCGACCACTGCTCTATCTCATAAGAATCCCCACTTCAAGTAAATAGCCTCCTGCTGGTACAATTCAATGGTTTATCAGAACTTCCCAGACAAATATGAATTCTCAGTGTCACATAATACAGGTTAACCTCAATAGCTCTATGTCCATACCCCTCTGGGTAAATATGGTAGACTGCACTGTTAATCCCAATTCTTAGGCAACCATATATTTATATATTTTAAATATATTTTATTGATTTTTTTACAGAGAGGAAGGGAGAGAGAGAGAGAGAGCTAAAAACGTCGACCAGCTGCCTCTTGCACACCCCTACCGGGGATGTGCCCACAACCAATGTACATGCCCTTGACTGGAATCGAACCTGGGACCTTTCAGTCTGCAGACCGACGGTCTACTGCCGAGCCAAACTGGTTTCGGCAAGCAACCATATTAAGGTTATACATTTCACCATTTGCCATGTAACTTGCAGTCTCCCCACCCCGCTCCACACACACACTGGATGAGGAATTTATGTGTCTATCCCAACTGATGTTTGTCTTGGCTATGTGACTTAATTTGTCCAATAAAATGATAGCAGGCATGACCAAGCAGAAAGCTCAAATGCACCTAGTTGATTGGCTTCCCCTCTTGTACTCCCTTCATTCTCTGTAAGAATATCCCAAAGAGCTGCTGGTCTAAGGTAAATAAAGCTCTGTAGAGGAGACCTGAACCCAACCTACTTCCTGGAATTTAGCTTAGCTCAGTCAAGATCAGTGGAACCCCAGCCAACCAAAAGCCTATGAGAAAAATAAATTCTTGTTGTTTAGAGAGAAAAAGAAGTTCAGCAACCATTAAGTAACATTTCCAAAACTTAATAGAAGATATAGCTCAAGACAGCACATGATTAACTGTCAGACAGATGGAAAAGTCAACAACAGACTTATTCAGAGAAGGGAATTTTGTCAGTTTATTTTGTCAGGGTTCCTCCCCCCCCCCCCATGCATTTCGCAAAACTTCATGTGAAATGAAAAATCTAATCAGAGGCACATAATGCATATTTTTAGGAGAAAGACCTAAAACCTTTCCTTCCAATTTCTAGACTAAAGCTCTAGAGTTTGATACTGGTCTTACCATGATTGTGGCTGTAGCAGAAGCATATTCTCCACCTCCCCAACACTCTCCAATATTGGGGCATCGAGCTTCCTCACACACCTGGGAGTAAAAGGGAACCGAATACAACCAGGTTGAAAGTATTTACCAACTGAACAAATGAGTGACCAGGCATTTTACCTGTACATCTTTACAACATATTTATGAAGAAATTCACTACTTAAAATGCTGTTAGTTGCCAAACTGTATCTTTATTAAGTTAAAAACTATATGAATGTATACATTTTATATGTGCAAAGAAATGGAACAGTTAAAGTGATATATTGAACAGTTAAAGTGATATAATTAACATTTGGGATTATGTATACGATGTTTCACATTTATCTTTATACTCTTTCCTACAAGCATGTTCTTAACTTGTAATATAAAACAAACAAACCCTCATTTCCTAAGACTCAGGAAAATCTCCCCCCCCCCCCCCCCACTATTAAATGAGAAGCTAAGAAATTCAATAACTTTTAAAAAAATTTTGATTAATCCTCACCGGAGAATATTTTTCCATTGATTTTTAGGGAGAATGAAAGAGAGAGGGAAAGACAAAGAGAAATATTGATGTGAGAGAAACGCATCGATTGGTTGCCTCCTGCATGAGCGTGATCAGGGCCTGTGCTGGGGAGGAGCCTGCAACTGAGGTACATACCCTTAACTGAAATCGAACCCTGTACCCTTTGATCAGCAGGTCAACATTCTATCCATTGAACCAAACCAGCTAGGGCTTCTATTACTTTTTGTTTCTTTTGTAGGGAAAATAATTTTTAAATTTATTTCCATTATTAATAGTAATGTATCCTAAACACTTTCCTTACTGTTATTGCTATATAAGTTTTAAGTTACACATGTAGAAAATGGGTAAGAGAAATATGATAACTTACTGTATGGAGATTTAAATTTCGCAAAGTATTTTTCAGTTTATTATAATTTTTCCCCATGGGAATCTTTGTCTTTAGCCATGGAGGTAGTCTTAACCTGAGGAAAATGAAAACTATCCATTAACAAACATATCCCCAAATAATCATACAGCTTTGATCTATTAATTCATCTAATAATCATTCGTTGATCTATTAATTCCTGGTTAAGCGGCCCCCCACCCCCATTATTCTGAATTAACTTATAATTTTTTGCCATAGAAGAAAGAACAGGGATTCAAATTTAGGCTTGCTCAAATACTTTAGGAAACACTGATATTTGTGTCTAACAGGACACTATGCTCATCTCTATCATTTGCAAAGGCACAGAATAATACCATTCTAATAAAAAAAAGAATGAGGAAGTTTTGAACATCTCATTTCCTAATGAAAAAATTCTGTATTTTTTCAGATTAAGGAGGACTTTCTGCTCTACTTTATATTTTTGATTTTTATGTTGATTATTAAATGAGAAAAATCTGAAATTTGAAATGTAATAATCTGTATATTTATTGTTTTAAATGCCCCCCCCAAAAAAAATTTGTCCTCTGCATGAAATTCCCTCACCATTCTTTTAAATTTAAATTAAGTCAAGATATCCATAGGTCATATGTACATAGACTTCGAGAAGCACAAGTTAGATCATAAACACCCAATTACAATGAAAAATTTAACAAGGTCTAATAGATTAGTAGTAAGGTAATAACTTTCACTTTCTGAAGTAATTTGATGAGGAATAGAAAAAAGGAGATGGAGGTGTAGAATGGTTCATCCCTAGAAAGGGTGAAGGAAAATTACCAAAGAGCACAGAAAAAAGTATTTCAACAATTTCACCTACAGTACTTACCTATTCTATGTCTGTTATCACTTCCTTTTAATAATTTTAAGCTAAATTTAACAAGTCTGGTTAAAAATATACTCTAAGGTTTGGTTATATCTTAAAACAATGCAAGATGAAGGAATGGGACATTAAAATGATCTCAAAATTTCAGTTACCTTTCTCCTTTCTGGCGCTTTAAGTTTCCTTTATATTGTTCCCAGGTGCTCTTGTCTGCCAGATCACCAGACACAAAATCTTGAAGGTCTGGTCCATTTTGTAAAAATTCCTTTTTTTTATCTGGCAAGGAACTTACTGCTCTGACTGGATTGCATAAATATTTTCCAAATACCTAAGGAGTTCATCATAACATTTATTTAGTGGGGTTTGGAATCATTTACTTACTATTTATTTAATACCCCCTCTCTCACCAGCCTGCAGATACCAAAATATGAGGATGTTCAAGTCCCCTTCATTAAATGAATTGGATCAATGTATACAATCCTACCTTCCCACCAGGACTGGTAAATTCAGACAGAAGGGGAAAAAAAAAATCCCCGTATTAGTGGGCTTATGCAGTTCAGACCCTTGTTGTTCAAGGGCCAACTGTACATTTGTTGACCATAAGAAACCACTAGCCTCTAGATGTGCACACAAACGTGACAAGATAACCCAAACACCACAAAAGTCAATAGCCAGTACACCTAATGCAAAAGGATCTTAAACAATTTCAGAAGAGCGTCTGGTAATGGTGCTACACGATTGCTACAACTCTCGTCCTTGTCTCTGCGAAAGCCTACGGCACAGGTTTGTGTGCTCAGTGTTCAGAGTGGTGTCAACTATTGTACATCCTATATGAAAAATGGCTAATAAGCTAAGTGTCCAGTCATACATTCAATCAAAGCATATGCTAATAAGGCCGCTCAACCGCTCTCTATGACGTGCACTCATCATCAGGGGCCAGATGCTCCAACTTGCAGGATAGCCTGCTGCTGAGGTCCAGCCGGCCAAACCCTGGGCCCTCCCTCCAGCGGTCACTCCCCAGCTGGCCAACCTTCCCTTCCGGGTCCCAATCGTGCACCCCTCGCAATCCCGGCTGAGGGACCAGTCTCTCCCCTCTTTCTCCCCCCCCCCCCCCCCCCAGTTCCCCGCGCAAGAATCTGGCGCCCTGGGCCTCTAGTACTAAATAATAAGGGGTGCTCAATGCAGTGCTCCTATAATTGCTCCAAAAAGTGCAGGGTTCAAATCAGTGATAAACAGAGAGAAAAGCTCTCGGCGTAGGCCACAGAACTTACAAAGAAACCAGTACCAAAGACTGTACCACCCAGGGGTACTGGGAGCATTAAATGATACCACATGAAAAGAGATTAGAACCCGACGGGCATTGCTCAGCGGTTGGGCGGGCCCATTCCCGGTTAGGGCACCAGTAGGGCTTTGGGCTGGATCCCTAAGGGTGGATAGGGGGGTGGTGCAGGAGGCAGCCAATCCATGATCCTCTCTCATTGCTGCGCCTCTCCCACTCTCCCTCTCCTTTCCTCTCTGAAATCAAAATTATATGGGATAGATTTTTAAAAAGCAGCACCTATTATGTCTATCCCGACGACCCTGAGAATAGAGCAATTTGTTGCTTCCATTAAAAAAAAAAAAAAGATTAGAACAATCAGTGACGGGAAGGAAATGATCAGAAATTGTTGGCCTTAGTAATGGGCGCGCTAAAGAGAACGGAGTCCCCCACTCCCGCGCCCGCGCCCTGAAATCCCGCCGCTCACCTGGGGCCTCACGCTGCGGACGACTACCCCACATCGTAGAGACATCCCCCTCTTTGGTGTTCCAGCAGGGTCCCCGGATTTAAATACCAGGACAATCCTCTTAGTACTTATGACAGATGACCTTAACCACCAATGAACCAGCGGAACTTGAAGCTGGCTCGCGATTGGCTGCTTTTAGCCGGGCGGCGTCGCGCACTGATGACGTCACATGCAGGAGGCCCTTACGGCTACAAGAACGTGATGACGAAAGACGCTTCCTCTTTGCCGCATCTACTGCGAGGTGAGCTCATGTCCGTATTCGTTGGGCCTTGGGAATCTGAAGCCATCGGCTCAGGGAAAAGCAGCAGCGCCGTTGCGGCGCTCGGAGGCTTCATCCTGGCTGTTCCCCCGCGCGGCGAGCCCTGTCTGGATTTGGCGGCGCTGGGATTCGAGCTCTGTCCGGGTTGTTAGGCCTACCCCACCCCACCCCTCAGCCCTGCCGGGATGGCGCCTCGCTGATAGGCCTTCCCGGGTGGCGCCGGGTCGGAGTTAGTCCGCTGGGCCTCGTGTCACTGGCTTGCTGCTCGCAGGCCGGCACGCACCCGTGACCTCGGGGCGCCTCTCCGGGTTGCTCTCCCCCCGTGTCCTCCCCGGGGGTTTTGCCTACCGGTCTCCGGAAGATGAGAAACTCTGGGCAGGGTCGTTTGGGCGAACATTGGCCCGGCTCGGGTCTTCTTACCCCGAGTGTTTGTGTTTCAGGATGAAGACCATTCTCAGCAATCAGACTGTGGACATCCCGGAAAATGGTAGGGGACCTGACGTTTTAGCCTTTTTCTTTCGCCTTTACTGCGCGCTCTGTCCCCGGCCCCGCCGCCTCACCAATGCCTTCTCTCCTAGTGGACATCACCCTGAAGGGGCGCACCGTGATAGTGAAGGGCCCCAGAGGCACCCTGCGGAGGGACTTCAACCACATCAATGTGGAGCTCAGTCTCCTCGGAAAGAAGAAGAAGAGGGTAAGGTTTTTGTTTTTCTGTTGTGTGTGTGTTTTTGACACCTTCATTGCTTGTTTTGGAACGTTGTGATTTAATAACGGCATACGTGGCTGCTTTAAAAATGACAGAATTGAGGTTTAAATTGAGCTGAAAATTTGGTGTCAAAGATTGTAGGTAGTTTTACCGAAGTTGGAGAAGCAAATTTCTGAAGAGTGGACTGTAAAGCTCCATGCTTGTCAGTGGTAGGTCTTAACAACTGTTGCAAGTTCCTCGGGATTGTATTGTGTAAGAATCTTCGGAGTAGGCAGTTGGCTTTTTTGCACTTAGCATTTTAGCTTTCTAAAAGTGGAAGTTATGTGCCTGTGATGAGCAGTGATAACTTAATTATTGAAGGATATACATGTATATATACTTGCAATTAAAATGCATGTGGTTTAATTAGGCCTAATGTTACAATGGAGAGTAATTCTCTGGGTAAATGGACTTTTCTTCCAAGTTACTTATTGCTGAAAAGAATCTGCTAAAGTTTTTATTCTGTTACAGCTCCGGGTTGACAAATGGTGGGGAAATAGAAAGGAGCTGGCCACAGTTCGCACCATCTGCAGTCATGTACAGAACATGATCAAGGGTGTTACACTGGTAAGCAAATGGATCAGACAACTTTTTAAGGGTTGGCTGTACTTGAGGCAGCATAAGTGTCTACTGTGGGGAATAAATTCTGCATGTGATTTACTGAAATTTCTGAGCTTTAGAATGTGGGAAAAGATGATCTTAGCAAAAAGTGTTTCCTTAGAGTCTCCTTTAAGTCTTTGGGGTTAAGTGATTAATGCAAGGAAAGACCAAATCGTCGATGGTGTTTTTCACAGAAAATTAGATTCACACCTTGAGGGTGTGTTTTGTTTTTGCACATTGTAGCACATCAGGTAGATTTTGAGTTTTTTATGGTATGCCTCACTGCCAAGGCCTCTGGATAGGGTAGGAAAAGGTGGATGTATTGATAATTTCTGAGCTCCCTGTTCATTTCTCTAAAAGCATATTTAATGTCACTATTCTTCCAAGTCCCTCTCCCCAGCCTTTAAAATTGATGCTTCTGCCTTTTCTGAAATGCTTTTCTTTTAATTAAAAGTCTTTCCTCCTAGAGTACCGAAACCGGTTTGGCTCAGCGGATAGAGCATCGGCCTGAGGACTGAAAGGTCCCAGGTTCGATTCAGGTCAAGGGCATGTACCTTGGTTGTGGGCACGACCCCATTTGGTGGTGTGCAGGAGGCAGCTGATGATTCTCTTTTCATCGATGTTTCTAACTCTCCATCTCTCTCTCCCTCTCTAAAAAATCAATAAAAAATATATTTTAAAATAAGTCTGTCCTCCTAGAGTACACCTGATAATGGCAATTTGTCCTGGACTCCATTATAAGCCTGTCTTGCCATGTCTCCCTTTGTTTACCCCTTGCTCCTAACCTAATAAGTTCCTTGAGAGCAGAATGCCTGACTTAATATCTTCAATTCTTGCTATCTGTCCTACCTTAGTGACTTAGTAAAGGTTCGTCTAATGTCCAAGGTAAAGGACTTTGGGTTTGTTATTCAAAAAAAGTTAGTGTTGATTGCTGTGGGCACAAGAGGTAGTAAAATAATGCTTCCTTAATGTAGTCAATGGGATAACTGGTGCCAGGTGGGTACTGGAAGTATTGGGGGACACTTATGTAAAGTATATGATAGTCTAACCACTATGCTGTACACCTGAAACTAACACAAAATAATATGTATGTAAACTGCAAGTGAAGGTAATACATAATGCTTCCTTAAGGAACTTTGCAGTCCAGTAGGAGACATTGGAACAAATGTTTGTGTATGAAATTTTTGTAAAGCTTGGTTCAGGTGATAGTTAAAAAACCTGGACAACAGGTGCTATGTGAGGACTATTTCATTTTTAAATGATAAGTATCCTACAAATTTTTAAAACTGGATTTCTTAATCTTTTAAATTTCTCAGCATTGCTAATTGTTTACTTAATGTAGGGCTTCCGTTACAAGATGAGGTCTGTGTACGCTCACTTCCCCATCAACGTCGTTATTCAGGAGAATGGTTCTCTTGTTGAAATTAGAAATTTCTTGGGCGAAAAATATATCCGCAGAGTTCGGATGAGGTCAGGTATGTGCATACCTTCTAGTACCACTTCCTTTGTACTTGTGAAGGCTAGTAGTTTGGTTAGCTATGAATACAACCACGTTTATTTCAGAATTGTCTGTTTTGATGATGCTTATAATAACTTTTGGTGTTAATTAAAGGTTTTATACCAATTGTAATTCCTGAAGGCTTTTGCATTGGTAGTTTGCAGGGCATGGTAGTTGTGTTTAATTTGCTCTGCAAACTGAAATGCTAAAAAGACCATTTGAATAGACCTCTCAATCAACCTTGGGCCAATTATCTCTGTAACTCATTTTCCTTATTTGTAAAATTGGGAACATTTCATGAACTAAAATTGAAGTGGCCGAAACCGGTTTGGCTTAGTGGATAGAGCATCGGCTTGAGGACTGAAAGGTCCCAGGTTCAATTCCAGTCAAGGGCATGTACCTTGGTTGTGGGCACATCCCCAACGGGGTGTGCAAGAGGCAGCTGATCCATGATTCTCTGTTATCAATGTTTCTAACACTCTATCCCTCTCTCTTCCTCTCTGTAAAAAAATCAATAAAATATATTTTTTAAAAATTGAAGTGCACTTAGAGCAGTTCTTGCCTGATACATAATAAACACTGAAGCACTAAAAAATTGTGTATTTATTCTCACCCGAAGATAATTTTTCTATTGATTTTTTAAGAGAGTGGAAAGGGAGAGAAAGGTAAGGGGGATAGAGAAGAAACTATCGATTGGTTGCTTCCCGAACCAACTAGACTGGGCCAGGGATTGAACCTGCAGCAAACCAGGTACATTTCCTTGTGCCCTTGACTGGGAAACCCCAGATCATTATTTTTCAGGGTCCACACTAATCACTTGAGTCACACTGGACAGAGCGTAGGAACTTAAAACTTATAAGTTCTCTGTGCTTTTTATTCCATTGGGGTCTGGAGGGATGGGAACACAAGCTTTATATTGCTAAAATGTACTAGCTGAATATCATCTTCCCTACTCCTTAATTGAAATAGCTTGTAACTACTGTGGGAGAGATTCAAGCAGGAACACAAACAAATTTTATGGCCCACACAAATTAGCTCTTGTAAAACCAAAGCTTCAAGAGTTTTATTTGGTCTGTGAAATTTTAAATGGAATAAATTCCTACTTGATTTAAATATTTTCTCTGCAAATCTGATTGTATGTTGACGCTATGCAAATACCTTCTCCCCTTTTAGGCGTTGCTTGTTCAGTATCTCAAGCCCAGAAAGATGAGTTGATTCTTGAAGGAAATGATATTGAACTTGTATCAAATTCAGGTCTGTAAGTTTATTTTGCCTATAAAATTTTATCTAAATATTATAGTTGAATATGTGGTATTCTGTTCATTTGGTGAGCTTTTTGTAATTGTAGAAATTAAATTTTCTTCAAAATACTCTAGTTTTAAGATGGGTTTGGCTGGTAAAGTAATTGCCTTATCTCTTATAGCTGCTTTGATTCAGCAAGCCACAACAGTAAAAAACAAGGATATCAGAAAATTTTTGGATGGTATCTATGTTTCTGAAAAGGGAACAGTTCAGCAGGCTGATGAATAAGATCTAAGGTAGGTTCTTAAAGTCTCTTAAGTTTTATTACTGCTTTACTCGGGGGTATCTTAATTTACTAAGATTAATGAGTTACAGTGGCAGAAATGAAGAGTTGCAATCTGAAACAGTAAATTTGGCAGATAATAAATGAAATTGCATTTACATTTTAAAATAGGAATCTATTGGATTTAGAGTATAACTTTTCTGGGCAAGGATTTTGATGGAGATTTACAGACATTTTTATTTCTTTTTACAGTTGTCCAACTATAGAAACACCAAGATGCCGAATGATTTCTCACACTTGTTTGTGAAACTATAAAGATGTACAATAAAAGCCTTGTTTTGGTTTGCACTTTATTCTTAAACTGATCATTCTTTCCAACTAAGTTTGTAGTAAGACTTCATGGGAAGAGTGACTGTGTTTTTGTTTTTTGTTTTTTTTTAAGAATATGCCAGTGACGGGGAACAT